AATCATAAGTTATAAAATTAAAACTTATTCATATCGCATTTTATCTTGTTTACAACCATTAACAAAATAATCTTACAAAATAGGTCTTTAATAAATTTAAATTAATTGATTAAATCCAAAAAAGAGATATAAGATTCTTATTTTTTATTATTATTTATAACTAATTCAAATATTAAAATAATAATTATTCTAAAAAATTATTAAATAAGAAGTTCTTAATATAATTCTTTAAGAAGTTTAATAATTTAAATTAAAATTCAAGTTAATAATTGAAATATAATAAAAATAAATATTATAAAATAATAAAAGATAAAAAATATAAAAGAAATAGATAAAAATAAAAAATATAAAAAATAAAAAAATAAAGAATAAAAAGAAAAAATATAATATTAATGTTAGAATTTTTGATATAATATAAATATAAAAAAATAAATAAATAAAATAGAAATTAAATTTAAAGTTAGATATTATAAAAATAAAGTATATTCTTATAAATTACTTAATAATTATTTGTAATTCAAAGTAATTTTATTAATTATAATAATATTTAATATATTTTTTATTAATAAAATATTTAAATATTTTTTTATTCTGAGTTTGAAGTTTATAAGAATTATAATTATAAATATAATACTATTTATTATTTCAAGTAAATTAAAATTTATTTCTAATTATTATTTATTATTTTATATCAAATAATACTTTATTTTTAATTTTAAATATAATTTTATTTTGAATTTTATTTATCTTTCTTTTATATTTTGCTTTATTTCTATAATTTGTTAAGAAAATTAATTTATTTATATAAAAGAAGATTCTATAAAAGAAAAAAAAACTTTTATAATATATATATTATATAATAAAGATTTTTAATTTAATTGATAATCTAATATTTAATTTATATTAAAAAAAATAGCTTATATTTTATTATTAAATTTTAATTTATTCTGTAAGTAAAGAAAATAATTAGAATAAATATATTCTAATTTTATTTATATATTACTATTAATTTTTATAAAGTTATATATAATATTTTATTAAATTATTTTATTATTTTATTAGTTTATAAATATATTTATATTTATTTCTTTTTTTATAAATAAATCCTATTTATTCTATATTTTTACTTTAGATCTGAATATTATTCAAATAATAAAATTATAAGTTTATAAATTGAAATTATTTATATTATATTTTATCTTATTTATAATTATTAATAAAATAATCTTATACTATTTAAGAAATTAGAACTTTTATAATTCATATTATTATAATAATTTGAAGTATTATTAATTAGTAATAAAATTTTTTTTAAGTTTTTGAAATTATTCTTTAAAATATTACTTTATATTTAAGTTTTTGAATTAATTTAATATAAAATAAATAAAGTATTATGATTTATATAAAATAAAATATGAGATTAAATAAATAATTCAATAATAGTTAATATTATTTTTCAGTTTCAATTATATTTATTATTAATATAATTATAATATATATATAATTTTAAAGTAAAATCTAAATATATAAATTAATAAAAAAAATTATAAATCTTTTAATTATTTTTTTTATTCAGAATATAATTCTAATATAAGTATTTGATATAAAGTTATATGAAAAAAAAGATTTATTTTATTAATATTAAAAATATTTTTCAATAAATATTTTTAATAAGTTCATATAATTTTTTTAATCTGGAAGTAATTCTAATGATATACTATTAGTCTTTTTATATAATTGATAATTTCATAATTATTTTATTTTTTGAATTAATAAATTTATCTATTAAAAAATTTCAATATATTATTTGATAAATTTAATAATTAAATAATAAATTTGCTTTTTCTTTAATCATTAGTTTAATTAAAAATATTTATTATCTATTACTTATTCAATTCAAAGTTATATAAATTGATCTAGTAATAGATATTTAATTTTTTTGTAACAAAAAATTTTTGAACTGATTTTATTATCAATAGCTACTAATTATTTTTTTTTCTTTTAAAATTTTTAAAATAATTGAGTGATTAAGATTAAGAGTTTGATTTTTTTATTAAAATATTTGGCAATATCTGACTGTTTTTCATTAGGATACTTATTATTATATTGATAAATCTCATATTTTAAACTGTTACTGATAGTCATTTATATTCTTTTATTAATTGATTTATTATGTTTTAATAATAATAAAGAAGTAAAAATTTCACATTATTACATATTATTTATTAATCATATAACTACAAGATGTGATTATATGGAAGTATTTTTAACAATAAAAAAATGTGAGAGTGATTATAAAAGAAATGTGACTATAAAAAATAGTCACACAAAATTGAGTGATTATATAGAGTTTGTGACTATATAAGAGGTGATTGTAGAGAGGTATGACTGTATTATTTGAATTTTTTGTCCCACACTCTGTATATAGTAACAATCAAATAACGAAAAACTTGAGTTTAATTACCATTCAAATATTTCATTTTTTGATTATTACTGTATATATACATATTTTTTAAATTTTAAACATTGTTTTATATATATGTAAATTGATATTAAAAATTTAGTCTTCATAAGATATTTTCAATAAAATTTTTTATTGTAAAAAAATTATTAAAATGATAATAAATAAACCTCGATTAAATGAATTTATTGATTTTATGAATAAATTTTAAGATATAAAGAATAAACTAAATACTAAAGCATTGAAAAAGAAATATAATTTAAACCAAGGCTTATTTCGCACATCCATATTTAAAAACTTCATTCTTCTGGAGATGGTGGTGTTGTATCGTCATTATCAGCAGTACGATAAAATCCCCAAAGATATGATCCCTTTGAACCAGCACACAAGTCTTGTTCAATAAGCACCCATCCTTCTTTTTTTGGTGGCGTCTCTTTTTCAGTAGATTCAAAATAAATATCAGTAACGGGAGGTTTATCGCCGCATGCGTTCCACACCAAGTATATGTATTTTCCACCAGCGCCTTCTGATAGATCCTGTGGGCTCCAAAAGTCCCAGCTGGGTGGCTTAGTGGTGCGTTGTTGATCGTATGCAATGTAAGAGAGTGCGGTTACGCAGTCGGTGTGAGTCCAGTATTTACCGGCGGAGTTCCTTTTATCGTGTTCATTAACATGTACGTGTTTAAATTAAAATTATTTATGTGCATACATGTATAACGTTAAAAATCTTGTATACCACAAAAATCCTCGATTCATTTCTGGAGGCGAATAAAACTCCAAATTTTCAATATCCACGGTGGCCAATTTATATCCAATATGAATAAATTTACCGCCATGACCAGCATTCAAATCTGTTTTATCCCATTTCCAACCGTCTTCTGGCCACGGCAAGCCTCGAAAATCAGAAGAATTTACTTTAAAATCTACTATGGCTCTATAAATTCAAGCATATAAATAAACAGAGTAATTTAAAAAAAAATAATCGGCAATGAAGTTATTGAAAATTTACAAAATATTTTTGGGAACCAACGATTTCCACATTTCAAGCGCTAATTTTTCTTTTTCTTTGATAAGGTTTTCGAGTCTTTGTTGGCTATACTTAGCAGATATTTGGCGAGAGAATTCATCTAATTTCTGTCGTAATAAATTTTCATTTCCCTAAACAGCAACAAAATTTGGATTAAACCATCAAAAATGCATGAAATTTTGAAACGATCAAATCCATACAAACGGCGTCTCCTTCTGTAACCCAGGTTCAATAATCTCGCACCACAAAGCTTCAACATCATGTCTCAAATTACTCTTTATTTCCATAGTTGCCACACTAAAATATTTGCTATTTGTCTCGTCATTGACAAAATCCAAAACTTTGTTGAGTCTTTTTACGAACGCATCAACACTATTCATGTTATTTTCATTTTTCGATTTGAGCGACGATAAAATTTCAGTAATGGTGATGACGAGCTCATTGACGTATGATTTGTCAAGTTTGTGTGTTGGTATTTTATCCATTTTGCTGAGATCTTCGAGTCCAAGTCCAGGTGGCTATATTTTATTTTATTTAGTCAAATAATTATAGAGCTATTTTTTCAGTTATTCTAATGTAAAAATATTTACTGGAATTCCGCGAACTTTAATATTAGAAAAATTAGCTTCGAAAGCATCTGAACCTATTAATAATTGAAATACGAGTTAATAAAATAATACATGGAATTAGTTAATAGGAAAAATTTACCATCAATATCCACAAAATCCATTTTCTCCATGAAAAATTCCGTCAAATCAAAAGAACTCGACATAACATCCTTTATTATGACAAATAAATTCGACATGACAAAATTCTCGAGCAATTCATTATCATTTTCAACCTCTTCCTTCTCATCATCTACCACAAACTTCTTCGTTTTTAATAACTCAATCAAATTATTAACCGCAAAAAGACGCTTAATATTCTGCGTATTAGGCGATTTATCAATCGTGTAAACAAGCGTATCCGACACTAATAATGCAAACAAAAAAAGTTTCTGCTGTATTATCTCGTCCTGTTGAAAATCATCAAATCCTTCATGATCGAGAACTACAACTGTGTTTGATGCGCTTTCGGTGTCATCGTTATTATTGATAGTGCTAAATGGTGTGTCCCACATTTGGATTCCTCGTGTGGTAGTTTTGTCTAAGTAATTGCTTAATTCAAAACCGTCGTGACGACCATGTAAAAGATTAGCAAGATGCGATTTTCCCGTCTGTCTATTGCCAACTATGTAAGTTATGTTATGTTAACTAAGCATCAAAATATTTCCAAAATTCATCAAGAAATGAAAATAAATTTACCGATAGAAACAACCCCAACATTCCCATTTTGAAATTTTTCAAACAAACTATTAACCGCATCAAGATTCACCACAAATTTTCCATTTACTAACGACACCAACTGTATTGGTTTCCCTTGACGAAAAGGAATTCCCTGGCCAAATGGATTCGCACCATTTGTAGTAACCATTTTTATTCTTTGGAAATTACTAAAATGTTACCGTTACAATGTTCAGAACAAGGTCAAAAAAGGACATCTACATGTATTTGTGCTTGTTTGTGGGACCCGGAACGGCAAAATCAGTTCCGGTCACCTGATAATTCACCAATTAAATTTGAAAGTTCTGTATTACTGTTAACGCTAAAATTCGGGATGATCGATGCGTCATTATTTAAAAACGATGGATGCGTGAAAAATATCGTAACTTAATGATCGAGCATAATTTCGATAACGACCAAACCGGAATCATTATTAATACATGTATTCTATAACCCATTAACGAAAACTACCTCTACTACATTTGGGACATAATTACCAGGTAACACAACAACAATCACGTTTGCAACAATCAGACGATCAATACTATGAAAAATAACGATTAGTTTATTAATTCACGATTATTCTACCGAAATTACCCACGGCCTACACTAACTCGCGTGATTATTCAATCCAAGCAACATTGTTAATATAATAACGACTAACCTTTTTCAAGATCCCTTTAATTATTAACGAATACTCTACAAAAGTCTTTTTTAAGCTTATTTCTCTGTTTCTATGAGGATTCTTTCAGTGATTAATGAAGATTTCTATTATAATAGAAAAATGTTTAATGATAGATTGTTATCAAGTCTGTGAATATTAACAATGAAAGAGTCTTCTTAGTTTAGAAAATAAAGATGAACATTAATTTTCTTGTATATAAAGATGTGTCCTTGGCCTTTCAACAAGGGATAAGACAATTTTAATAAAAATTAATAAATAGTAACTTAATTATATATTTATTGTTACTTGCACTAAAAAGAAACTTGCATACAAGTACTTCTAATTCCTTTGCATTTAAACTTAATAATTGATAATGGAAGAACTCCACTCTAAATAAATCATATTCACCTGTAGTAATCTAGTTTACTGGCATTAGGTAAAGTCTAATTGAATCTTTGTGTTTAATTCTTCTTGTAGACTAGTTTGTTGACCATGTCAATAAGGCTAACTTATTCTTCTTGTTTTGATAATAGGCAGAAACTACCCAAAGTCCGGTAAAATTTCGTGAACTAATCAATCGTGTCAGTTAACTCTGCTAGAAATAATTGTTCTTGTTCCTTTTATTCAGGTAGTAGTTCAACAGGAGATCTTTGAAAATCGAGAACTTCTCCTTTCATAAATTATTCAGTCGGCGCTCTCAACATTTTGTCGCATCTTATTTTTAGAAAGTAGCATGATATTTTGCTGCCTCCTCTGTAGAGAGCAATTTATCTTATTTATTGTCTTATTTTATATTTATGTTTACAGTACAAATTTTTCAGTAAAATTCTTTTTACTTTATTGTTATAATATTTAGTATAGTAAGCATGACTTCTGCTCTTAATGCAAACACTTTAATATATGTAAAGATATGATCAGTAACAACTAATAGCAGAGAAGTAACAATCTGTATCAAATGACAATAGCAATAATAACAATACTTACAAATATAAATTTCTTACATAACCTGATAATATCTAAGATTTATAATAAAAAATTACAGTAATTACAGATATCATTTTTCAGATTTCAAAATAATGGTTCTGCTAAAGAAAGAAGAATATAATATAATCAAGAGTAAATATTTAAAGAATGAAATATCTTGAATATAGTCATATCTTTCTCTTAAAAATAATTTATAGTAATAATTAACTATTTTCAAAATGGTAATTGAACAAAGATTCAGAATGAATCAGTTAGGGAACAGAAGAAAAATCACGTTTTCAAGAAAAGAAATAATAAAATAAAACACTTATAATATTAATAACTTATCTCAGAATTAGAACAGAAAATTTTTTAAAGCTAATATTAATATAAAAAATAAATAGAAATAATTACTGGAATCAAAATTGATTCAAGAAATTAGAAATAGTGAAAATAATTATATTATTCTATTATTTTAAATATCAAAGCATAAAATTCATAAATATTATACTCTCAATAATAAAAATAAAGAAAAATAGCAAATAAAAAAGACTTATTAACAAGTAATAAAAAAAGATAAATCAAGAAAAAGATTAATTAAAAAAAAGAATAACAAGAATAATAATATGAATAATAATTATAATAATAATATGATAATAATAATTAAAATAGCAATAAAAATAATAAAATATTAATAATACTAGTGCAAAATAGTATTTATAATTCTAAAAAATAATAAAAAGCAAAAAATATACTTATAATAATTCTTTTATATATAATATAATAATAAATATTGAATAATTTTGAATTATAAAAAATTATATTATTATTAATAATAATATATTATTAAAATTAAAAAAATTAGTATAAAAGATAAAAATAAAAAATTTTTATTTTATTAAAGCTTTAACTTTTTTAAAGAAAAATAATATTATTATAATAATATAAATATTATATAATATTAGAATTACTTGAAATAATATATAGTTTTTAATTTAATAAATTTAATACTATTAATCAATAATAAATATAAAAGAATTATTATATAAATTATTACAAAAAATCTCTTATTTTATAATTAATAAAATATTACTTTAAAAAGCTATATAAAATTCTTGTAATATTAATATTAATATTATTTTTCTTAATAAAAATAATATAAAATTATTATTATAATTTTAATAATATAAATATTAAATTTTCAAATTATATATTATTTTTTAAAAATAGATTTAATTAATATTTATATTATATTAAAATTAGATTTTATTTTATTATTATTTTTATTTTTATATTAAAATTTTTTTTATAAGAGTTCTTAAATAATTTATAGTTTATATTTTAAATTCTATATATTAAGTAATATAATTCTAAAAATTATATTTAAGAAATAATTATTTAAAGATTGAGATTTAAGAAATAAATAAAATAAATATTAAATTTATTTTTTCTTATTATAATAAAATTAATAGTTTTATACTTAATAAAATTAAATAATTTTATTTTTTTATTTTAAAAAATTAATATATATTCTTTTAATTAATATATTATTGATATTAATAAGTTTAACTATTTAGTTTATATTAGTAATAAGAAGAAATTATTATATTATTATAAATTTATAAATTTTTTTTAGTTTAGTTCTAAATATTTCTTTTCATATATTTTTATTAATATTCTTTTTATATTTAATAATAGTTTTTATAAAAATTATTATAAAATTATTATTATTTTAAAATTTAATATTTTAAAATTTAGTATTTTTATTTAAATAAAAATATTATTAAATTTATTAATAATTTAATTATATAAATATTTAAATAATATATTTATATTAATTTAAGAGTTAATCTTGAAATAATATTAATTTAATAAAATATTTTCTTTTAAATTAAATTATTAAATTCAAAATAATAGATTTATTTTTAGAATTTTTATAATATTTAATATAAAAATATATAATATAACTTATAAAATAAATAAAATTATAAATATATTATTATATTATTATATATATTTAGAATCTATAATAGATTTTTTATATATAATTTATTAATATTTATTTTATATTTACATTCTTATTGGATAATTATTTAGTTATATTTTATTAGATAATAATTAAGATAATATTATTAATAAATATTTTTAGATAGTTTTACAAGCATAATATTCATGATAAAATTATTATAGCAAAGTTAGCAAAACTATTATAATAAAACTAGTAATACTATTATAACAAAACTGATATTATAATACTAGTAAAAGTAGTATTTAGATCATAATAAAAATATATTTATAAAATCTCTAAAATATATAAAAATAATATATCTTAGTTAAAATCAAGAAGTTAATTAATAAAATAAATTAAAAAATAATTAATAAATTAATGAATTAAATAATAATAAGATAAAATAATAATTTAAATATAATAATATTATAAATTAATAATCTTT